GATATTGCCTTGCCAACAAAGGTCCATCTAGTCAAAGCTATGGTTTTTCCAGTAGTCATGTATGGATGTGAGAGGTGGACTATAAAGAAAGCTGAGCACTGAAGAATTGATGCTTTTGAACTGTGGTGTTGGAGAAGACTCTTGAGAGTCCCTTGGACTGCAAGGAGATCCAACCAGTCCATCCTAAAGGAAATCAATCCTGAATATTCATTGGAAGGATTGATGCTGAAGTTGAAACTCCAATACTTTGGCCACCTGATGCAAAGAAGGGACTCATTGGAAAAGACCCTGATGCTGGGAAAGATTGAGGGCAGGAGAAGGGGATGACAGAGGATAAGATGGTTGGATGGCATCACTGACTCAATGGACATGGGTTTGGGTGGACTCCTGGAGTTGGTGATGGACAGGGAGGCCTGGCATGCTCCGGTTCATGGGATCACAAAGAGTCGGACACGACTGAGCGACTGAACTGAACTGAAGTGAACTGAACTTGGTATTAGAATATCTAAAGTCTTCGGCATTAATAAGTTTAGTCCTATCTACTATCAAAACTTCCATCTCTCATTATATCCTAAGCTGGCTCTTGGACCACCATTCACCAGCCCCATCAAGTTCAGGCCTGATTTACAATTTCATCACATAGTCGGGAATAAGTATGTCATTGCATGTTTTCTTTTTCTCATTTCTTTACTTCCTTTCCTCCTCCTACTCTCATTATTTGGTTTGAGGGATGAAAGCTGAAGGGTAGCTGTGGTGCTATTTGTGATTTTTCTTTTAGTTGTTGAATATACAATAGCTGCTTCTTGTGACTGTGCTTTTGTGGAGTCTTCGGAATGCTCCCATATACTTAATGACCTGACAGTGTACTGTTTGGTGACCTACTTTGTTGACATCCCAGGGTAACCTCTTTGACTTTCCTTCATTCCTGTTTCTGGCAGTATATTTCCAGTTGTCTCTGCAGAAGTGGGCAGTGGGAGAGGTTGGGCGTGGGAGGGATGAATGGTGGAAGGGATGAGGAAACTCTGTTGGGCAGAGGATCCAATCTGTATCCCATGGACCTTGGAGAAATTCAGCATATTGTTCAGGTATAGAGGACACTACACTAGCAGGTAGCCCCAGACTCCATGTTAATACCATTATTGCTGTTTCCTGGAGTTTGCTCAAACTCAGTGATGCTCTCTAACCATCTCATCCTCTGCTGCCCTCTTCTCCTTTTGTCTTTGATCTTGATATCTCCTCAAAATGAAAAGACATATAAGTCTGTCTTAAATCCCGAAGGATTTAGGTATGACAGAAATATTTAGTCCGTAATAGTCCACAATTCACTTCATTCACTTAGAGACCTAAGTGAAAAATCTTCTGAGTGCAAATTTCCATCTTTTTTAAAGCATGTGCTGGTGGTCAGTCATGTCCAACTCTTTGTGGCCTCACTGACTGTGGCCCATCAGGCTCCTCTGTCCATGGAATTTTCCAGGCAAGAATACTGGAGTGGGTTGCCATTTCCTTCTCCAGGGTGTCTTTGCAACCCATGGATTGAACTTCACCGTCTCTTTTATCTCCTGCATTGGCAAGTGAGTTCTTCACCATTGGTGCCACCTGAGAAGCAACTCACATCGTATTTGTGTTATTTATCTTGTCCTAGAAGCCGTCACTCTCTTAGCTCCATTCCTGTAGGAGTTTTCCTCTCTTGCTTAAATCACTCTGGAAATTTGCTACGTCTATTGATGTTGTGACCCCCAATTCCCTTGTTTCTGTGATCCACAGTTTCAGTGACTCTGAGAGACTCTTTCTACTGATCATGTGAACCTTACCTCCAGTGACCTTACAACGCTGGCCATCTCTAATCCCTGTGACCTACACTGGGCCCAGCATCTCCCACTTTTCATGACCGTATGATTCTCACCCCTATGAACTCTATCACCCTAATCCAGTGCTCCTAAGATCTGTCTCACTGACCTCAATCCATTGACACTTTGATCCTGACCCCACCTTGATGGCACTTTACTCTCCACTACTATCACAGAAAAGCACATTCATATGTTTTTATCTACCCTCATTCCCAACTTATATCTAGCCATTTTGTAGGGAACTCTTGATACCATCTCTGAATTGCATTTAGTAATCACTCTATTTAAATGCCAGAGGAATTGATAAAAAATTATTTGCTTATACACAAGAATTTTGCCTTGAAAATCAAACTTAATATATAATCCTTCTTAGTTAAAAGTTTTAATGGGCTTATTGAACAAATATGAACAGCATTCAACAAATGTTAACATCTCACAGTTATCGAGGATGCAGTGATGTCAGAAACAGGTGCTATATTGTGCATGGGTTCTGTTTTTATCACTATTTCAACTTTACCCTATTTGGAGGCTCCTGCAACTCTCAGTGAGACTATTTTTAAAGAACAAAAGGAAAATCCATCTATTCAAGAACATCTGCTTTCTGTATAGTTTTTCTGTTTCATGATTTCTTCTGGAGACATGGTCATTTGACCTGAAACTGAAGAGCATGCTTGGGGCACAAAAATAGCAGAGTGAGCACTCCTGTCTCCCAGCTCCGAAGATCCAAGTTCTGTGATTGTTCTTCTTTGTACTGTATGTTTTCATACAGGCTGTGGAGGGGTAGAGCGTGTACCCTTAAATGGAAGCCAATGAATGGCCCTATGTCAGACATGAGTAACATTTTTCTTTGCATCAGGATTCCTTCAGATCATCAGCTTTGAGAACATAGCATAAGTCATTGTTTCAGAAGGTAAAGGTTTGCAGAGTGGAGATTTCCTCCCCTCTCAGGTCCTTGGTTGGCTTCAGCATGTTCTCCTTTTTTATTTCTGATCATGACTCTATGGCTCAATTAGTGTGAAAAGTCACAAAGGTGCTTGATTGGAGATAAGCATTTTCTTACATTTTAATATACAGACACATTTCTTATTGAATTATCATTATGGTTTAGTCACTAAGATGTGTCCGACTCTTGTGACCCCATGGACTGTAGCTAGCCAGGCTCCTCTGCCCATGGGATTCTCCAGGCAAGAATACTGGAGTGGGTTGCTATTTCCTTCTTCAGGGAATCTTTCCGACCTTGCAGTCGAACCCGGGTCTCCTGCATTGCAGGCAGACTCTTTACTGACTGAGCTAGGAGGGAAGCCCCAACCTGGTCCACAGCCTTGATTAAAATGGCCCTTTTTCTCTGGTCATAAATCTTGTTCCATAAACGGGTCCTTCTCAGACTTGTACAGTGCTCTAGGCCGTGAATACCTAAACTCCTGTGAATTTTTTCTTTACCTTTTTTAAAAAAACATGCACAGGCCAGTGCCAAAGTGCCCAGGAAAAAGAGAAAAATGGTTAAATTACAAAAAGTTGTTTAATTTCTATTTTTCATATAATATTGTTTCCCAAATTGATGCAGGCTCTATCTTGGCCAAGTTTCTTTTCTTTTTTTTTTTTTCAAATTCCTATAATAGAATAGTTCTAAATGGCATTATATTTGAGAATTGGAAATCTTGAATTTCCTATGAATATTTTTGCATTCAAGCATTAATAACTCTTACTCACAATTTCATAGAGTGAAAAAAATACACTTAGAAATGAAAAGAATTTGTAACTTCAGTCAATAATTCTATTGATGATAATATTTGTATAGTTATTCTATAGATTTTGTAGCAGTCTGCAATGGTTTTAATTTCCCTCTATGAAAATGACTTTCTTGAAGCTTTATATAACATTACATATTTAAAAATAAAAACATTCAGAATAATATAAAATATGCAGTTGGTATATTAAATGGACTTTATTTGATTTTATCATGTACTTATATATATCAGGAGAAGTCAATGGCAACCCACTCAAGTACTCTTGCCTGGCAAATCCCATGGACGGAGGAGTGTGGTAGGCTGCAGTCCATGAGGTCACAAAGAGCTGGACACGACTGAGCGGCTTCACTTTCACTTTTCACTTTCATGCATTGGAGAAGGAAATGGCAACCCACTCCAGTGTTCTTGCCTGGAGAATCCCAAGCCTGGTGGGCTGCCGTCTATGGGGTCGCACAGTCAGACACAACTAAAGTGACTTAGCAGCAGCAGCAGCATATATATCAGTTATCTGTTTTTTTTTCATTTATTTTTATTAGTTGGAGGTTAATTACTTTACAGTATTGTAGTGGTTTTTGTCATACATTGACATGTTTTCTGTTCTGTTTTTAAAGAAGAAGGAATTGAGGCAAAGAAAAATAAGGTTCTTACTCAAGAAATCTTCAACTCTTGATATGATTGATTTAGTTTTAGATGTTTCATTTGAAAAAAATTGATATAAGGAAGGTTTTCATTCTGAGTGGGTGGTATTTTAGGCTTGTTCTGGTGATGTGCCTTCTTTGTTTAGATACTGGAACTCTTATCTGATCATTGAGTATTAATTTTTTTTCAAGTCATCAAGCACATCCTGCTTTGTGATTTTCTTCCAGGCGTCAGGAATTTCACCTTTATTGATAAATCTTTTGTGATATTTTTCTTTTAGCTTTGATCTGAAGTGACAGACAAACCATTTCCAGTATGGCTGGGTGGATGTGTCTGGGATGATGCTCCATGTGGCATATTCCCCTCCTGCTCCTCGATAGGTTTTATATGGGATTCTCCTGCCATCTTTGAAAACCAAAAAAGAATCACTTGCCAACAAACTAGTATAGTAATCAATGACAAACTGGTCTGTTTGATACCACCACCATCCACCGAGAGCCTCTGGATGGTGGAAGGGAACACTGTGGTCTCCTTCATGGGTAGGGATTGTGTTTGTACAAATTGCTTTACAGAAGGGACACTATTTCTAGCAGCCACAGAGATGTTCAGAGAGCATTTTCTGGATTTCAGGAATCATTTCTTCTACAAGTCTAGACAAACCGTTCTGTTCTACCTTCTTCATTTCAGGATCCAAAGCTTTACTCATGGCCTCTTTGAGAAACTTGATATCTTTTATCTCCTGGTGTTCAATGCTTATCAAGTCTTTTCATGGGAAGATCAGATTACTCCCCAGGTGATCACAGAACAAATCTAACCACCCAGACACTGTGCTCCTTTTATCTTTAGCTATTGCTGTAGATGGATGTATAGCTGAGAGGATGGCATTCTTGATGTCATGTAAACTGATTTGTAGAAAAGTCTTTATTTTTCTACTTCCTGTGTCAGAAAAATATGTTTTAACATGCTTTTCAATGTAGTTCTTAAAGAATGATTTTGGATGATGAAGGCACTGCCAGTAGTTATCAAAATTTTCCTCTTCTGCCAGATAGATGAGAATGTGTTTCTCCAGGTTAACTCTGTTTTCATTGAATGCCCGGCAGGTGGTTTGAATGTCCCCAGCAATTTTGAGGGCCATGTTTTTCCTTATGGTGCTGGAGACAGCAGGTGTTAGTTTGTTCCACAGAAAATCAAAAAATGTTTAAACTGAAGTTGCTCCTTGATAAGAGATCTTAAAGCTCATGAAGAACTCATCTTTCTTGCTTTGAAGATAGTTTACAGGATCATTTGTCCTCTTGAATGCCTTGTGCATCTCCTTAAACTTTACTGATGCTCTTTGGAATAAACACAATGATAAGTCTATTTCATATCTTCTTGTAAATGTGTATCTTTTCTGAGTGTGTGCAGACTTCACCTCCTCTTCTATTATTCTCAGGATTTCATAGAAATAAATTTGATTGTAATCATGCTTTTGCTGAGATATTTTATTAATAGTTTCATTAACTTTTGAAATAATCCAGTCAGTAGTCATATTTATGGAGTGTATATCCTGGGCATCTATTTTCATTGTAGAGAGTCCCCAATAATTCCTGTTCATCTTAACATGTTTGTCATAGTTGATTTCAAACTCTTCTCCAGAATAGTTCTTCAGTATGATTGCCATGTCTTTTTCCTTTTTGAAATAATCAAAAAGGATGTCTTCAGATTCCACTTCAATTGCAGGCTCTTTGGCTGGAGGGAGACTTGAGGACACATCAGAGACCCATTTTTCCCAAAATGGGTTGAATTTCTCATGGAGCTCTTCCTCACTCAGTTGGGTGCCCTTTAGCAATAAAGCCAAATTCTGGCTTTTTTCCAATAATTCCTTTTTAATAACCTGACTTTTTGTTATCCAGTTTTTCTTGATTTTTTTTTGAAACTAAAAAGTTCTTTGACTTTTCTTTGGCCATCTAAAATTAGTGCCTCTCTAAGGGTTATTAGTTTATTTTCGAAATTTCCTTTCCACTGAACCAGTACTTCACTATCCGGGTCTTCATTAAAATATTTTTCAAGTTTTTGCTTGATGGCTTTATATATCTGTGTAACTGGAGCCTCCAAGGTATATGTTTCAAATGTCTGGATTTTTCCATTCTGAATCTGGTTGATCAGCTGGTCCTGTAATTTCTGCACATGACGCCTCAGCTCCCATGTCCAGTAGTTATATATGGTTTCCAGTTTGCTCATAGGCATGACTTGAGTGTTCCTGAAGCTGAAAATAAAGTTCTCATTCAGTAGGGCTCTCTACAAATCTTGAACTTGGAATTTTACATCTGATATCTTCATGATGCTTCCCCTAGATTCCTGTTGGCCAGTCACAAGAATTCTACTTTTTAGTTCCTGAACATTGTGGCTGTAGTGAGGATTGGGAGGGGCCATTGGGGGATTGCCATCCCAGAGGTGAGCAAAGTAGTAGACGTGGGTATTGGCATCAAACTTAATGACATCACTAAAGCAGTTTACATCAGAGCACTGCTCTTCTTCAGCTGCTCTTGCTGCCATTTGGTCCAATCTCTGCTCTAGCTGCCTTCTTCCTTCCATAGTTTGGTCTTTAGCTGTAACCTCCCCCACATTCTGATGGACAAAGAGGCAACCGGGAGAGATTTTTACTTGTTTCATTCTCAGAAAAGCTTGGACAACTATTTGTAGAACCTCTTGCATTTCTGATGGATTCTCACCCATAATATTGATCAGAGTCAAGTTTCCAAGTCCGATGACAAAGGTTGCCAACTCATTGTCATGATTCTGGGACTTGTTGCTGAGTTCTGGGGCTCGAAGTCCCTCTGTGTCCACAACAAGCACAAAGTCAAAGCCAATTTCAGCTGTGAATGTCTCCTCCACTTTCAGAAGCTGGATGTAGGCCCCCCGAGTACACCTCCCAGCACTGACAGTGAACTGCAGCCCAAAAAGGGCATTCAGCAGAGTGGACTTCCTTGAACTCTTGAGGCCAAGGACAGAGAGAACAAAGAGCCGCTTGTCTCCAAGTTTCTCAGAGAGCTTGTCAAAAACAGCTGCCACCCACCTCAGGGGCACATATGAAACATCCCCATCCATCAGCTCAATGGGAACACCAGATATCATCAGATCTGCAGCTATGTGGGGAAGGGAGAGAAATAGAGTATCTTTCATGGGTGAAGTTTCTTCCAGAGCTTCATAGATCTGGCCAGCTTCTCTAAGAATGTGCTCAATTCCCAAGGTACAGTCATTAATCTCTCTGGAAATAGCTTCTATCCTCTTTTGCCAGTCTTTCACAGAGCTACTCTTTGTGGCCTCTTGCTTTTCTTTTTGAACCAATGCCTTTTTCTTCTCATTTAAATTTTCCAAGTGTCCTGCAGTCAGGTTGTCCAAAGCTACATTCAGCCATTGGAGGAAGTAGAGTTTGGTGTGAGTTTCTGAATGATTTTGGAGAATTTTAAGGGCAAAATGCATTAAAGCATTGAGAGGAAAGGTTTTTCTCATCTGTTGACGTCTTGTCATTTGTTTTTTTTGTCTCAGTTTCACTTTTGTGTTGTTCAATGCTGCGATTCCCCTTTTCTCTCAGATGATAGAGTTCTTTGTCCTTTTTACACCAGTGTTGCCACAGTTTTCCCTGAAGAGGTAGTAAGTTTTCCTTGACCTGATGTATTTCCATTTCTCTCAATACGGTCATTAGAGCCTCTGCCTTTTCTTTGGCTTCCTTACAATCTCTCTGGTCTTCATCAATAAGCATTCCTTGCTTGCGAGCAACTTGGGCACAGTTCTCCAAGCTGAGTGCACTGTTAGAGAGCTTCAGCAAATGTCCGATTGTAGTTGTGAGCTCCCCTATTAAGTCTGCCTCATTTCTGTTCCTGATCCCAATTCTCAATCTTGAGCCAGATTTACCGAGTGTGACTTTTCCTTTATCATCAAGCAACAAGATTAAAGGTTTTGTTGACCGACACATGTCACGGACTATTTTTTGGTTTCCTTTATTGTCATCAGAAGTTGACATGAGGACCACAATTATGGAAGAGACTTCCTGCAAAAAGGTGAGTTGCTTCTCATATTCCTTTGCATCTCCATGAAGATTGGTAAAGTTCAAGCAGTTGTCAAATCTGTCCTGCTCTTCCCGCCTAGGACAGAACCAGGCGACTTCCACCACTCCTCCCATCAAGAGACAGTCTCTGCTGCTGCCTTTGCAATGTCGGTGAAAAAAGACATCATGTTTGCGTTCACTGAGAAGGCAGTTCATGATCTGAGATTTGGAGGCAGAGAAACCATTTCCAACTCTAATAAAGGACACAATGGGGACAGAAACATGACACATCCGTTGATTCTTATAATTGCCCTTCTCCCCTTTTATTGATTTCCCTGCTTGCTGCCAGCTCCTTCGAATTTGACTGAGAGACCAGAGAGAGAATTCAATTTGAGCATTGCAAGGATTAGGTATGAGAAGGGGGAGTGCAAACTGACAAATGGAAAGTTTGTCCAAAATATATTGTCTGGCAAAATCATCTGCACAGTGAAGAATTGCCATCTGAATATCCATAGGGTGAACATAGGGTCTGACATTAGTGGCTGCTGAAGGCTTAGTAGGACTAACACTTTCTTCAAGTAGATCTTCATATGGATCAAAAGCCTCCTTTTCTTGATTTGAGGTGCTGAATAGACTTGGTTTTCTGTGTATTCTTCATGTTTGATGATCAGGTATCTCAGCCCATAATCCAGCATCAATAACTTCTGTACGAAATAGAAGGGAAGTTCTCTTTCAGAGCAGGGCTGGGTGTTGTACACAGAAGTCTTATGGATCAGTTGGATGTTAGCTCTGCTCATTTCTCTTGGGTAGTAATGTTCTAGGCCTAGACGCTCAAGCAAGTCTTGCAAGGCTCCATTTTCTGTGACTTCCTCCTTTTTATTTTCATTATCTTGTGGTTCATTGTGCTCTTTCTTTTCATGGAAGACACTTTGCAGTTGTTTTCTCACCTCCTCCACTGGCAATGAAGAGACAATAGCCTCATAATTCCCATCAATGAGCAGTCTCAAGCCTTTTTCTAGGTTTTCCCAATCATGATCTTCAGGTTTGGTGAGGACATATACAACTTCTTTAGTCAAAGATTGTCCCATGTGATGTTTTATCAATGCCAACCATTGTGTTTTCTCCTCTGGAGAAACAGCTTTGATGCCCACTGTTGTCAGACCTGTGAGCACCAGGAATGCCTGAGCCCTGTAGTTGCAAATATTTTTGAGCTCTTGGTGTTTATTTTGTGCAATTTGCATTTTATCCAATAGGAAGTCTAACTCATCATGCCCCAGGAGATACTGAAATATATTGTGAACTACATGATATCCTGCACCAGATGCTATCAAAAGTAGCAAGATGTGGGTGTCTGGCTTCCCCGTTTCTCGGAGGTATTTCAAGAAGGAGCGAAGAGACAAGCTGACCTCATAAGTCAGCTTTCTTTGAGCTTCCTCCACCAACTCTGTGGATTCGGAGTTGGCCTTTACTTCCCTAAGGTCATTCTGTGTTTTTTTAAATATTTCAATTAACTCAGAAAATTGGGTGATATGGACATTGTCTTCCCTTGGTTCTGACTGAAATATCCACTGCATAATGGAATGAGCCTGAGGAAAGGTTGTTACTGTATAGATGTGAGGATCCAAAAGACTGCTCAACTGAGATTTAATAAATTTAGTTCCATCACTGGAAGATTTTTTGCAAAAGTTAACAATGTTTACCAGAAAATTCTTCAGACCCCAGTCTTTGAGGCATATATTAGTCCAAATGGTATAACTTTCAGTTTTTTGACTCAATCTTTGCATGAAATTTATCAGCCTTCTAAGTTGTTCTTCAGGATCAAAAACTTTCCAGGATTTCACATCCTCTAGGAAAATCCTAGCCTCCCTCTCAATACTCAGTAATTCTCCCTCCTGTATCTGGGCGGTGAGTTCAGTCAGAATAGTATAGTTGTCTTTCAGGCAGTTAGCTACTTTAAGAGGATCCCTAAAATAACTTCTGTGGCTAGAGAGGACAATGTCCCAAACAGGTACCAGCTGAGGTCCACGGTCAATGACACACCAGGTTTGATTATTGGCAACTAGACCAGCTTTCCAGTCCAAAAAGTCATTTGCTTCTGGTGGGCCACCTGTTTGGGCCACAGAAAATTGGACTTTGGTTTGGAGATTTTGGAAGGTTGCTCTCTGAGAGGCTTTTTTCGAATGAGAGTCTGACACATCCAAATCTGTACCTGTGTTCACTCCAAAACCCCTGCAACTGCCCCTTATGTAAATATCCAGGGCCTCTGCTGCTTGCTGTTTCACTTCTGCCAGCTGCTCTTTTTGGAAACCCTCTGAAATGGATTTCCACCAGTAGATTCCTCCCAGGTGCAGAGGGCCCTGGTTAGCATGAGAGCCAAACCTCTGGAAGAAGGCTTCAGTCCTATGCCTCAGCAACAGTAGTTTGTCTGGGTCTTCTGACTGACTCAAAAGGTCTTCAATGTATTTTAAACCCTGGAGAGCAGCATTGGATAGTTGGAGTTGGTCAATGGGAAAGATGCAGGAGGCCAGTTGGATACAGATGAACTTGGTTGAGCAGAAATATGAGTGTTTAGATTGTGACTGTTGTATTTTCTTGGATTCTGAATGCATGCTCTGATCCATACCAGCTTCCAGTCTCATTCCCCAACCTCCACGCTTTGCTAAGGCAGTTACACTGAAGCCCAGCTTCTCTACAGTCTGAGTGAACATGGATTCTTCTTGAGAAGATGTAAATTCCTTTGTTTCCACCCATGTACCCTGATTAGGGCCACGGAGTACAAACTCCTTGGGGACACAGAGTAGCTCTTCTTTCTTCTGTATAAGACACCTTTCATCACTGGTTTTGTAAATTCCCTGTAGGGCTAGTCCTCCAGATGCATGTCTCACCAATTCTCTATCTGAAAGATTTTTCCTGTGAGAAAATTCCCCTTGCATGAGGTTGAGTTGTCTCTGCATATCTTCCATGACTTCTCCTAGGGGCTTTTCGGGAGATGGCTGAACTCTTTGGGGATCTCCATTGTTTGCCTCAGCTCTGCTTCCTTTTTCCTCACTGCCTCTTCCTGTTGTTGCCTCCGTTCTGACAGTATTTCTCTTTGTTCCTGCAGAGCCTGTTCTGCCTCCTTCTGCCTTTAATGATTCCACCCAAGACTCCTGTAACTCTGAAAGAGTATTTGAGTGTGATAGGTTAAGCAGTTTCTCCAGGGCCCTTTTATCCCAGGAATGTTGCACCTGGCATTTCAGTTTCTGGAGGTCTTTTTCTTCTAGGTGTTTGTAAGGCATGAGCGGAAGTCACACCCAGGTGTTCCTGCAGCTTTGACAACTAGTACTCAACTGCCAGTTCTATTTTCTGAGCATCTCTTGGAGATCTTGTCTATTTTTGCCTCTAAACAGGAGTTCATTGGGCATAGACTCTGCTGTGTCCATGGCTGTGGGAAGAAAAGACACTCAGTTAGCCTGTGGCATGTTAATATGCAGAATAGTGTGATTAATTTAGAGATATTAGTTGCTTTTGTATTCAGTAATAATGAACTATCAGAAAAAAAAATTCAGGGAACAATTCCACTTATATTCACAGTAAAAAGAATAAAATACCAGGGGATAAACTTAACGAAGAAGGTGAAATACCTATATTCTGAAAATTATAAACACTGATTAAAGAATATGAAAATGATAAAAAGGAATGGAAAGATATCCTGTGTTCCTTGATTAGAAGGATTAATGTTGTTAAAAATCGCCATATTACCCAAAGCAATCTATAGATTTAATGCAATCACTATCAAAATACCCAGGACACTTTCACAAAAGTAGGACAAAATGATTCTAAAAATTTTTTTGGAACCACAAAAGACTCAATTGCCAAAGCTGACTGGAGGAAAAAGTATAGCTGGCTGTATCACATTCCCTATTCAGACTATACAACAAGGCTACATTAATCAAAACAGCATGGCATTGGCATAAAAGGAAACACATAGATCAATTTAACAGAATTCAGAGCCCAGAAATAAACCTACACACTTATGGTCAATAATCTATGACAAAAGAGGTGAGAAAACAATGGAAAAAAGATAATTCCAATAAGTGGTGCTGGGAAAATTGGATAGCTACAGTAAAAGAATATTAGGAAAAAATAGGCAAGGAATAAATAGATGTTTCTCCATAGAAGACACATAGATGACGATCAGGCACATGAAGTCACTCAACATTGTTAATTGTTAGGGAAATGTAAATCAAAACCATAATGAGGTATCACTTCAAACCAATCATAATGGCCATCATCATATAGTCTACAAATAATAAATGCTAGAGAAGATATGGAAAAAAGGGAACCCTTGTGTACTGTTGCTGAGAATTTAAGTTGGTTTAGCCACTATGGAAAGGATTGTAGAGTTTCCTCAAAAATGGAAAATAGGATCACAATATTACCCAGCAATTCTACTCCTGGGTATATATGTAAAGGAAGTGAAGACAGGATATTGAAGAGATATATGCACCCCCATGGTTACTGCATCGTTATTCACAATAACCAAGATATGGAAACAGCCTAAGTGTCAGTCCATGGCTTAATGGATAAAGGATATGCTACACAGCAGGCACACATGTGTACAGAGACACAGATCCACAGTGGAATTTTATACACGAGAAAGAGGGCAATCCTGCCATTTGTGTGTGACAACATGAATGGACCTTGAGTGCATTATGCTAAGTGAGATAAGACAGACCAGAAAGGAGAGATTCTGTATAATATCACTTATATTTGGAATCTAAGCCAAACTTGTAAAACAGAGTAGTATGGTGGTTACTAGGGGTTGGAAGGTGTAGGTATTAGGGAGATACTGTTTAAAGGTACAAATATGCCATCAGTAGATAATTAAGTCCTAGAAATCTAGGCTTCCCTGATGGCTCAGATAGTAAAGAATCTGCCTACAATGCAGGAGACCTGGGTTTGATCCCTAGGTTGGGAAGATCCCCTGGAAGAGGGCATGGCAACCCACTCCAGTATTTTTGCCTGGAGAATCCTCACGGACACAAGAGCCTGGTGGGCTACAGTCCATGGGATCGCAAAGAGTTGGACACGACTGAGCAACTAAGCATAGCACATAGCACACATAGTGATTATAAACAATATACTGTATTATACACTTCAAAGTTGCCAAGGGACTTTATCTTAGTTCTCACCACAATAAAGAAATGGTAGTGTGATGTAACAGAGGTGTTAGCTAACTCTATCTTGGTCATCTGGCAATATAAAAATGTATCATATCAGCACATTGTATACCTTAGACTTATGCAAGGTTATATGTTAATTTATCTCAATAAATAAAATGCACTTCTTAGCTGATTTATACTTGTCACCCACTTCTCACTCTTCCTCTGACACTAGTTAATATAATTATATTATATATGTCTATTTTAGATTATAAACTATATATGTATAATCAAATTCTCTTTATCTACTGATGCTACCTTAATGTGTGTCTGTAGAACCAAATTCTCTTATATTCAGTGTTTTCTCAATGTTATGTTTTTAACCCCACTGTCTTTGAGACATTATATGAGATGAGATTTCACATGTTTCAACTTCACACATAATTCAGGTTTCCTCTCTTCTTGTATTTCCTGTCCTACTGAATGTCACTATTATAATCCTATGCATCCTTCTTCCTCCTAATGTGAATGTAGTTTCATGTCCTTTCAAATTATCCTTTTCAATCTCTCCTAAATCTCAATTCTTTTTAATCCCCTACCAGCTCTCCCTTAGATTTTGCCTTCATTTTGTCTTTATTGAATCATATAATTGTCATCTCATCTTAAAGTCATTTTGATTTTGTGCTTTCCATCTTCCCCAGTGTCACTAAAATTTGAATCTAAATTTAATGGCAGACTCAGTAATTCAAAAAACAACTTTTCTGGGCTTCTCTGGTGGACAGTGGTTAGGAATCCACCTTGCAATGCAGGGAACACTGGTTTGATCCCTGGTCCAAGAAGCTCCCGTATGCCACAGAGCAACTAATCCTGTACACCACAACATCTGCACCTGTGCTTAGAGCCCACAAACCACAGCTACTGAGCCCATGTGCTGCAGCTACTGAAACCCATGTTCCCTAGGGTCTGTGATCCACAATAATAGAAGCCACCACAGTGAGAAGCCCTGGGTATATATGCAAAGGAAGTGAAGACAGGATATGTATGAGATACATGCAGTGTGCATGTGCACACTGCAACTAAAGTAGCCCCCACTTACTGCAACTAGAGAAAGCCTGCGCACAGCAATAAGGACCCAGCACAGCCAAAACGTAAATTAATTACCAAAGAGAACAACTTTTCCAACTGAGTTATCTAAAATATCTAGATAAATTTTTAAGACAAATTCTTTGACGTCTCAAGGAATTTAATAGATAGTGAAATAATATCTGATGGAAGAGGTAAATAAATTTGAAGCAAGTGAAACACTTCCATTACAAATTAAAGACAACATTTAGGATACCTTGGCATATACCTCAGAAGACAAATAAAGGAAATTCACAATCAAACATATCACAGTGAAACTGTAGAAAATACAATAGGAAAAGCAAAGCATTTAGAGAAAAGGAGATTTTTACAAATTAATGTATTTTAATTGGAGAATAATTACTTTACAATATTGTGATGGTTTGCCATACATCAACATGAGTCAGCCATAGGTATATAGGTGTCCCCCACAATTCTGAACCCCCTTCCCACCTTTCTCCCCACCCTATCCTGGGTTGTCCCAGAGCACCTACTTTGGATGCTCTGCTTCATGCATCAAACTTGCACTGGTCATCTGTTTTACATATGGTAATGCACATGTTTCAGTGGTATTCTCTCAAATCATCCCACCCTCACTTTCTCCTATAGAGTTCAAAAGTTTGTTTTTTATATCTATGTCTCCCTTGCTGACCTGCATGTAGGATCATTGGTACTGTTTTTCAAAATTCCATATATATGTGTTATCATACAGTATTTGTCTTTCTCTTTCTGACTTACTTCACTCTGTATAATAGGCTCCAGGCTCATCTACCTCATTAAAACTGATTCAAATGCATCCTTTATAATAGCTGAGTAATATTTTATTGTGTACATATACCACAACTTCCTTATCCATTCATCTGTCAGTGGACATCTAGTTGCTTCCATGTCCCAACTATTGTAAATAGTGCTACACCAAACACTGGGGTACATGTGTCTCTTTTAATTCTGGTTTCCTTGGAGTATATGCCCAGCAGTGGGATTACTGGGTGGTATGGCAGTTCTATTCCCAGTTTTTTAAGGAATCTCCACACTGTTCTCCATAGAGGCTGTCCCAGTTTGCATTCCTGCCAGCAGTGTAAGAGCATTCCCTTTTCTCCACACCCTCTCCAGCATTTATTTTTTATAGACTTTGATGATGGCCATTCTGACCAATGTGAGATGATACTTTATGGTGGTTTTGATTTGCATTTATCTAATAATGAGTGATGTTGAGCATCTTTTCATATGTTTATTAGCTATGTGTATGTCTTCTTTGGAGAAATGTCTTTTTAGGTCTTTTGCCCACTTTTTTGGATTGGATTGTTCATTTTTCAGGTATTGAGCTACATGAGCTGCTTGTATATTTTGGAGACTAATTCTTTGTCAGTTTTTCATTTGCTATTACTTTCTCCCATTTTGAGGACTGTCTAAGAAAAGAGGGTTTATCTTCAAATAATAATTAGAGAGAATGATGACCTTAACAGTGCTGATGGAAGCCAGAAGGCAATAGGATGGAGTATTAAACCTACTGACAGAAAATAACTGATAAAGTTGGATGCTATACAGAGTTAAAAATATCCTTCCAGAATTATGGTGGAAGAAAAACATAATTGCAAAGAGCACAGTAACAGAATTTGTTACCTGGAAATGCACATTGAAGGAACTACTAAGGCATATTTTTTTCAGGAGGAGGAAAATATCACCAATGAATAATCAGAGATGCAGGAAAAGATGATGAGCAACAAATGAATAAATATATGAAAAAATATAAGTAAATATATAAAACAGTGGGGTTTAAAATACATGATGGCAATTGCATTTAGGCTGGAGTGTGCAGCCAAATGGATTTAAAGGACCCTCAGTTCCTTGAGGTATTTGAGAGGAAAGTCAAAGATTCTATTGATTTTGTAGAATATATGTTGCAATTTCTAGTACAGTCTCAAATATAAGAGTCAAGGATATATAACTGTCAACACAATAAAATAAAATAAGAAACATATGATTATATAACTTACCAAAATTTGTGGGCT